AGACTGGTTCTTGAATGTGATGATCAAAAACTTTTTCATGTGTAAGATTTTTACCCGGCCACGTGACACCTGTTTTCTAGAGAAGATATATTTTTGCCCAGTTTGGATTGATCGGCGATGTTTGAGGTTTAGTGACCGCAGGTGGATATCGACGCGAAGGAGGTTGGCTCCGGTTTTTGGTCGGGTTTTTCAGGTTTTAGTCGTATAGTGCTGATGTAAATGTATTTTGTTGGCTTTGTGGTATTTGCTTTGGCATGACTTTCGTTTGTGACGCCGGCTTCTCTGCCTTTGTATCTGGATGAGTTTGTCGGATTCTTTCTTTAGCATCTAGGGTGCTGGTTGATAATCGCATGTGTGGGACGTTTTGATTGTTTTGTCTTTTTAGCAACTTGCTGATGGATGTTGGAAGTAGTATTATGATGAGTGTCATAATTTTCTTCAGCTTTTTCCCGAGCTATATGATAAGAAAGTGTAAGAGTAAGGCGAGTAGTAGGAGTGCATGTTCTGAATGCGTCTGTGAACTTTCAAAGGTTGCCACAGTCAATAGTATAAACAGCATGGGTAGAAAGCGTTCGCTGAGCGTATTGTAGAAGTAAAGCCTGTAAGAACTTGTGGGTTATCGATTCAAGTCTCGCATAAGTCTCGAAAGAGGCGATGTATATGAATAAAAATGAGTTTCTCGTCATGTAATGGTTGGCTGCAGAGAAATGTGCTACAATCTGTACAAGATGAATTCATTTTTTTGCTGTCATGTCTTTAGAGATAAGAGTGCAATGTAATTGGGAGTTTTATGTTTAGTGTTGCCTAATGACTCTGCTGTTACGTCATAGGGAACGAATCTCGATAAAGACAAGATTGTACATTAGTTTATGAGTAAGTTGAATGGATCGAAGTTAGTTGAAAAGGTATCACCAACAAAACTATTAACTATTGTCGTTCAGTATCGGACATAATGAAGAATTGTAGGCAGTTTTTCGCCAGCAAATGAAGCATTATGTTCAGAATAATATTTCCTTTTTGTTGTCTGTCTAACATCTTCATGCATCTCTGCTTTGGGCAAACAACAAATATCAGTGTTTCCATATTTCACTAAATGATACGAAACGCGTCGATTAAATTAACTCTGCATTTTTCTGTACTAATCATTTCATTTTTAACACATCATCAATATTTGAGAATTATTTCGGCTAGGACAATAGCTAAAAATCAAGAGGTGAGCGCTACACTTTGATTTGTATGACAAAGAAATAGGTCAATCTCTTTTTCATCTGTATTCAATTGCATTTGGATCACGTTGCTCACATGGTTTCTTCTACTTTTAGGTTGCGAATGGTGTCTAGACATCTTCATTTTGGTACTAGGTTTCGGCATTCATGATACTTATGGATAACGGTTTCTGTTCTCTTTTTTTCGGATCGGAGCTAGTTTCGTCTTTTCTGTTCACATCTTCAATTGATCAGTATGGGTTTCATTATTTGAGACTTTTCAAATGCCTGTTGAAATGTTCTTGTATGTCTCCAAGAATACTATTTTATTATTCTGAGCATTCAGTACGAAATCGCTGCATTCAATAGTGTTTGTTTCTATGATATTGTGGATTATTTGTGCTTCTGAAAGGCTTTTCGTTGAATGCATCAATGGATTTACACGGTGCCTCTTTGTGGCTCCCAATATATCAGCGAGGATCGTTGCTACTTTATTGGACATCAGATCCGATTGTTACATTGTATGGTAATGTCAGTTGATTCTCCTTTTACCAAATTGACGCAAGACATATTCGAAGTAGCATTTGTGGCTGATTACTGTCAGCTTTTTACGTACGAGTGTGCTTGTAACGATTAATTTTTGTAATTTAAGTATTTTGATGAGGAAATTATAGTCTCCTGTTGTGATTAGGATGTATAAAAAATCTCTGTCGTCTCGAATATACTGAAGAACTAAAAATACAGAGACAAGGAATGCTGCCGCTCCGTCAGAGTAGCTGCATTATTCATTTATAAATGTTTCTCTAACCAATATTATTAATTCTTTTATTTCTTTTGAAATACTCATTGTTTATTTGCTCATTTGAAAGCTAAATGTTAAACAAATTACATCTGCTGCAAGAATATCAAGTTAACAAATTTATTTTTAATTCTTAGTCTGCTAAACAGGATTTATTTTCATGTATGAAAGAAGGACAGATACGAAATGATGTTTCGATTTAAACGACTGTTAGGTAATAAGTGATGGCTACTTGTATACACTCTATAACATTTCTAACCTACATTGCTGAATTCAAGCATAGCTTCTGGTTGCACACTTGGTATTAGCTACTAATCGTCATAAGTAAGCAATTTAGTATGTTGTTGCTCAAGTAGAGTCGTATCTCATCGAAACAAAAATAGGTATGAAGAGTACGTGCTACTTTATGTTGTTTGCTTTCTCTCTTTTTCTGGTCTGACAACAAGCTATTATTAATCATACCATTATCACATATAAGCAGAAGGCCTGAAAATTGAAATGAACATCATATCTCATTATCATAGTTTTTGCTTTCATTTATATCAACACCAAATGTTTTTTTTAAAGATTTGGAGGGTGATTGTTACATGAGCGGCTCATAAAAAACAATATTTTACATATGAAATCCTGCTTGTACGTATCTTAACTTATTCAGGGCTTCACAATACACGTTGTCATTCTACTTATAATAAAAAGAGGACTGTTAAAAAGTAAAATTTCAGAAATAGTTGTTAAAAGTTCATCTTGAAATTGCAAATATGAGACGTGACCGTTATTTTGTTGTCGTTTGTCCTAGGTTGTTGTCGTCTCTCACGCCTTCTGGTATATAAAGATCTGTTTTATGCGTGATGCATTAATTTCGTCGATCAACACAATAGTAGCAACATCGATTCTTCTACTAGAATCTCTACTGAATACAATAAGTGCAATCATTTTCGAAACGCACGGGGTACTTAGGTTTCAGAATTTTTATTTAATTCTTTGTGATCAATAGTAAAGATGTTTGTCTCGATGTACTATGAGAATAGTACTACTAGATTGGTAGACGTATCTTAAGCGATTGCGATGACCAACGGCCGCTTTAGTACTATATGATGACTTCTCTTTGGGTCAATTTTTTTCAGTGAATTAAGTTCCTTGTTAAAAGACATTTATTCACATCTTCCTATGGATTCAGATAGTTTTGGGTAGGGTCGCTGCGACTGTCTGAAGTTGCTCTCCCATCGGTCGGAGCGAAATCAATGAATGACTTGATTGTCTCCGTTTGTGTTGCAGTGCATGAAATAATTTGTTAAAAAAAGCCGCTTTTTAGTTCAAATTAAGTTTTCTTACTTAGGTTTTCATTTTGGAATTGTGTGTTTCTTTTGCTTTCCATTGAACTATTATTCTTTTCATTTTTATATAATGTGGTTTGGTGAAAAAATCCTTTGCTCTTTCTTTGATCTATGTGCCCAAGGAAAGAAGAGTGACAAACTCCATTTCAATCCAAGAATATGGCAGTTCCTTTACTGAGAATTTTTCTTCGATTTCCACGTTTCTCAGTATTCTTATACGAGAAACCTCTGGCAGATAGACTTGTTTGATATGTTTTCATCTCCTGGTGAGGTTGATGATTCAACATCGGATTTTAAACGCATGCCTTTTTGTTCTTTTCACTTACCGAATTCAACTCTATTGTCACAGTTGTTAGGAATGAAGTCTGGTTTTCGTTGTATAACTATGATATATAGCTACACAGATACAAAATGTTTTGCTTCAGTATTTACATCTATCTTAGTTTATTTACATATATTCAATGACTTGTGATAAAAATTTCACCCTGATATGCCTGACTAGATTGAAGTTTCGGCTTGTTTTCCTGCCTTCCAGGAGAATCGAAATAACCTCTCGTTAGAAAGGGTACAGAGCTCGGGCTGATTTCAAATTGTAGCTAGCCTCTGTACGCAACTTTTCATCGGGCGGAGTTTTGAAACTGCCTTCCATTTATTTTTTATGAGCAATTTTGTGGATATGCTTGCAAAATAAGCATAAAAAAAGCTAGTCTACGACAGTAGACCCTACTTTTCTCAGCCCTGGGATCCAATATCAAAAATCCGTCCAACGAAAAGTTAGCTCTGTTTAAGATCTTTAAAACAAAAAAACATCATTTACATGCCGAGTTAAGTGGAAGTTATTTCAATTTTCCTGTCTAGAAACCGTGTTTTGAGAAAAATGCTAAAGAAGGTTCAGAAATGGATTTTTTCATTTAAATCCAAAACAAATCATATTACAATGATATATTCCAGTGAACCGTTTTAAGGGACATAATAGATGAGGGTAGCTAACGCCATCTATCATGCTGATTAATATAAAAATATTATATTCAATGAAAATGCGAGTGGGAACGCAATTTTTCTGCAACTGAAAACCTTTAAAAACCACGGAAATTTCTCGCAAAACATGGTAGTAGATTTAAAGTTTCATGTGAAAAGTGTTTTGGGAACATATCGGTGAAGGTGATGTTAACTTAATACTTCTATCTTCCTCTGTATGGCAACCAGAAACGTATTCCAGTTAATGAACGAACCATAGATGATCAATGTTTTTTACGACAAGTTAAGAATGCTGGTGGTATGTTACTGGATATACTCAATAGTAATGCAATTTATTGGCGTAAAAAAAGTGAAATGGATGACAAAGTATTTCAACATATGACACGAACTGGTACTTATTTATTAATTCAAGAACTGAATGCAACAGATTTGAATAGTGTTCAAAGCCATTTAAGCAAAATAGTCGAAGAATTTACTTTATTACTAAATGATTTACGTGAACGTCAGTGTCTGACTGATACACAAATTCAATAAATGACTGTTCAGAGATCAATGGTTCAAATCGATTATCTATACTTTTTACCGGATGCACATCAAGTAAGTATTCTTTTTTGTTTTCATTGTATTCTTTTGAGAAAATGTGGTTCTTTCTGTATATAAAGTGCTATACCATTTGAACCAGTCATGGTATGTTGCTTAGGACTCACTATTGATATATCTCGTTACATCAGCCGTCTTCTTCAAAATATCTATGATCAAGAGACTCGTTCAACAACATTTTTCAAAGCTAGTAATGTTGTACATGCACTAGAAAACTATGCCACAGAAGTTCGTTTATAATCAAAGACATTATTTGCTGCTGTACACGTTAATGATTTATGTACACTTATACCTCTTGAGCAATGGACGGAATCATTACAGCATTTTCTCTATGATTATGTACCATATGAACAAGTGCAAGGATTAATTGTTGATACTATTATTGAGTTAGTTCGTTTTGTTTTACAAAATCAATACTTTATTTTCGATAACAAAATTTATCGACAAATTAAAGGTTGTGGTTTTGGTCGAGCGTTAAATCATCTATTAGCAAATATTTATATGTTCTATTGGCAACAAGATTTAGTTAAAACATTAGTTAATCAAAATGAAATATTTGACCGATATCTTACTGAAATGTTTTTTACTTGAAATAAATTAAAACGAGAACTTCAATCACTTCTTAAGAGAATGGTTCGTCAAAAAAAATCCTCATTTATCTATAGCAATTTGAATTGGAAAAAATGTCGTCTATCTCGATGTTCAAATAAGTCATATCAATAGTCAACTTCGAACTATAATTAATCACGATAATGATATTGACCCCATGCATTATCTTTTATACCGGATAATCCACCTGTAATGTATTCAACATTAATTCGCTCCAAAGTATCTGATTTTCATAATGAACGTCGTGATGTTCAAATAGTATTTTTAAATAACAACTATTCAATCAATTTTATAAAAAAACATGTTGAGCAATTGTTCCAAGATTTTCATATTTCCAATTGGAAATCAAATTTAAATCAAAATACCTATGATAAAATGCGCGAAGAAATTATCGAGTATGATCAATAACATCAAAAAATGAAAATAAAAAAACGATGAAAACAACAAAGAGAACAACTATGCTACATTACATCTGATTTAAATGGAGAAGAGCTATACGATTTTCAACAAAATATTAAAACCTTTTCGGAAGACTATTTGACAAATCAACCCCAATTCAATAATATAACCATTGTAGTCATTCATCGACCAAAATATCGACGGAACACAAAATGGCTGTCTATAGTTATGAAATTCAGAGAGTTTTTTGTTTCTTTTGTTATACATTACGTAGATGGTTTTTTTTGTAAACTTTATTAAAACTAGATATTCCATAATTGTTTACTCCTACTTTTTCGAGATTTAATGTTTCCACTTTGCATTTTAGATATTGAGTGTTCTGTATAAATGAATTATATTGAAACAAACAAAACAATGACAACAACGAAATCAATTTTAAAAACACCAAGTGAAGATGCTCAAGGTCACTAGTATGAATTACTTTCTCCAACGCAAGTGTTGACTGGACAACAGTAAAAACAGAAACCAGCACAACCACAGAAATGTGAAGAGGTAAAACGCAAGAAAAAAAGCCGCGGTGATCGAAAAGCACAACGTCGATGTGGACGACTTCATCAAAAAGGTTTAGATCCAGATTGACTCACCGATTTAATTCAGTCAAACGTGAGCCTTCAGAAAAACCAGAAACAAATGAAAGAAGATACTAATGATCATATACAGGTCAATGTACCAGTTGATCAAGTAATATCTACCTTTCTTATTAGTAAAAGAATCAATCAAACGTAAATGAAATGAAATATCATCAAAACAATCATCAAATATAATTGCTAAGTCTTTAAGTCAATTATCTATTTCTCAACCATCACGAAAAAAAACAAAAGATGACCAATAATGAAATTGAACAAGTAACTACAAATGGAACATCAGGCAAGAAACGTTCAAAATCTAAAAAAGAAATTAATCATAATAATGACTATTCTTCTATATCTGATTATTTACAAGTAACCAATCGTATATTTAAACAAATGTTAATCAGTTCATTAGAAGGTGTTGATAAAATTGTTAAACGATTAAATACAAGTGAAAAAATTAACTATATTCGTCAATATGCTTGTTTAATACATCGTCTATTCTATGTACAATTACGAGAAAGTCAATGGAAGTATTATTATGATATTAGTATGCAAGAAAATATTTGGTCCGGCCGCGTATCAAAAAAATGGGCTGCTATGAATAGTATGCATCATACTTATGGTCGCTAAAAATAATTAATCATACAACGTCTAACAACTCTTCAACGACAACTTCAAGAAGCATCACAAGCATTACAAGAGTTTGGCAATCCATCATTATCTCAATGTCTATCTGAAATGAATCATCCATTAGATTTTACAACAATGTCAGCTATGGCTATAGTTGTTGTCGGAAAAGGTCAACATAAATTAAAGCAACAATGTGAATATAATAAAAAAATGTTAAAATTAGACTCAACAGATCATCGTTTAGTACAATATGTTTATGATTTGAAACCTAATAAACAACAAATTCGTTCTATTCGTAATATATGGAAAGCAATTTATAATAAAAAAGCTTATTAACGCAGCTCCTTTGGAGCTGGAATGTGGAACTTTCGTATATCCTTCAAACCTATTATCCTAATGCATCATTTGTAAACTAAAAAATAGTTGTTTTCAAATAATTCTGAAAGTATTGAAATATTGTATAGAATCTGAAGCCTTTTGTGCGCGGTTGCCAGGTCTGTAATGTTCTTTTCCGTTGCTATAGGTTTGTAATGGGGAGGGGGAGGCGGAAAACCTTGACCTTAAAACTTACATCCACTATTTTCTTCGAAAAAATACGTGAGTTCCACAAAATAAATGGAAGAACAAATTGAGATATTAAAACATCGCATCCATTCGAATTGTTTACCACCAGCATTCAATCTTCTTGATTATTCACTTAATAAAATTGATAAAATAGTTAGCCGATCGAAATAAACTTCTACTAACGATAATGATAACAAGCAACCAACAATATTATCTGCTCGTCGTTTCAAAAAAAATTGGCTGATTTAAATATGATATGCTTGAATTAAGTATAGTAGCTGGTAAAGAAAAAGTACGCTATTGAAATAAATTAGCAAAAAATGGAAAAAAAGAAATTGGTAACTATTACCGATAAATTGAAAATAAACAATTCAGATTCAGATATATTCAAACAACTAATGGTAGCTATTGAAACACGTGAAAAACATATGATCGAACGATCTGATTATATTACACAACAAAAATTGAAATCTTTTTTCGAACGAAGCTCCGGCATCACAGAACGATACAACGAACAACGATGGCGTCGGAGAAAATCAAAATTAATTATTCGAAACCATACGGATATGTTTCTTTGTTTATATTTTGCCAATACTATTATAAGGGATATTATTAAGCGGTCAGTAAAATAAATGAAATGGTCAGTAAAATATATGAAATGATCAGTAAGATAAATGGTCAGTAAAAAATGTATAAATGATCAGTAAAAAGATTAAATGGTCAGTACTTAGATTATCACTCATGTAAAAAAAAAGATTGGAAAAAATCGATTAAAATGGGACAGTTTTAACCAGGTTTTTAATCAAACTAGTGATTAAAATAAATTAAATTTATAAATATCCATTTTAACCGATTAAAATTTTTTCATTGACTATTTTACTCAATTTTAGTCAGATTATTCGATTTTTAATCTATTAAAATCGATTAAAATTTTTAAATCGATTTTAATCAATGCTAATAGTTTTTCTTTTTAAATGAATAAGTACCAATTGATATCGAGTCTTGAAGCATGGAATTTATGTCAAAGGTCGATCTAGCATCATATCTACTAATTTTCCGAGGCAAGGAGTCCGAAAAAGCGATCGAACATCTGAGTTTTCAACATAAAGTTTGAGAAAACGCATTTTACCGTCGCCGCCATTAAAATTAATATTTATAAATTTAATTTACTTTAATCACTGGTTTGATTTAAAAAATCGATTAAAATTAGATTTTTTCCAATCTTTTTTTTATATGAGTGATAGTCTAAGTACTGACCATTCAATCTTTTTACTGATCATTTATATACCTTTTACTGACCATTTATCTTACTGACCATTTCATCTATTTTACTGATCATTTAATTTATTTTACTGACCGCTTAAATAGTAGCCCTATTATAACAGTATCGAATGAACAATTGCTTATTCCCATGTAAACACTAAACGCAGAAATTGTGCGTTTAAACGCGTTTTTCTCGTGAAACGCGTCTGGACTCAGTTAAAAGACAATAAAAACCACGTCTTCACGCGATTTTGCACAGACCGCATCTAAACACGACTGGACTAAGACTTCAAGCGCATCTTAACGTGTTTTGGTTTGGAATCGCGTCTCTAGTGAAACATTTCTTGCGTCTAGACGTGGTTTTACTTGCAACCGCACCTAGATGCATTCCATTGCTTCGATCAATAGACAAAC